ACGCCCTGGTCTGCATCCCCCCTTAGAAATGCAGTTTTGTATTGGTTTTGTATTTGTTTTTAAATGCTGCTTATAAGCTTCCTTGAGCTGCCTTGAGTCTCTGTACTGGGAGGAAGGCGGGATATAAATAAACAGAAAAAGAACAATACAAAAATAATATTTTGGAACAGCAGGCTTAATAATATTGGAACAGTCCCAAAACCATATGTCTTGCAAGAAAATGTAGGAGTGACTTTCCATCCCTGTTCTGACCCGTCTATACATACCCAGACATCCCATTTTTAGATCCCAGCAGCCGTTAACATCAAACAGTTCTGACCAGGAGCTCATGAATTGGCAAAGGAGTTGCCTTGGGAAGAGAACAGCGGATATAATTATGAACACATTTGCTCTTTTGTTTGCTTGTTAGGAGGAGTGGAAGGGAGGCGGCAAGGGATTGTTTTGTAATAGGTGCTTCCCACGTTAGGTTTCAAGAAAGCAAAATGGCCTGCAGAGCCATATTTTCTGAGGCCGTATTGAAGCCCCAGCAAATGCCCCGCCAGCCCCAAGGATGCCACGAAGGGAGACAGAGCAATTGCACAGGCTGTCAGCGTCTGCTTTGATTTTTTTTCGTTATCTGAGACGCATGTGCATGTGCACAGGAACACATCCCTGAACACCCGCGCACCTGTGCAGAACATGTCATAGGCTGGTATACATTGTCACTCTCTGTGTACAAACATAACTGAAGTTTGGCATCCCTGCACATGTGCACAGAACATGTCATAGGGTGGCATACAGTCTGTCATTTTGTCTGTAAAAAGGTGACTGATGTTCAGAATCCCTGCACACCTGCGCAGGACCTGTCATACACCCACAGATCATGCAAGAATTCACTGACCTTGGCTTCCCTCAAGTAGTGGATGATGTAGACAAGTGCCACTGTCTGATTGTTCCACCCTTGGGGTGGAGGGATGAGTTTGTCAACCAAAAAGACACCTACACAGTTGTCCTCCACAAAACATGTCTCACACAGATCAGGGTGGAGGGGAGAGGTACATGCAAGGGAGGTTTGTGTGGACAGACTGGATACATGCAGCTGGTGGTCATGCAAGGGACATGGTCAACAGGACACACAGACTGCAGGAGCCCCCCCCCCCCAGCATGTGAGGAAGTGATGTGCAGGTCTTATGCACACCTGCACACCTGCACAGAGGAGGTCACAAAAGCTTCTTTCATGCAAACTACAGCAAGCGTACATGCGACAGAATGCATTTATTGTCATAATAGAGAACAGTTGCTAGGGTGCATGTGTAGGAGTACAATTAGGGTTAGGGTTTTAATATTCAAGCACACCTGCAGTGGTGCATCCACACCTAGAAGCATAGAGCACTTTAAATTAAAGCCTGCATAATAGGGCGCATGCTCTGGATCGCCAACTCAATTTCCGCCGTATGTGCCGTGGTGCATTTATACAACTGTTTTAAATCTCTGCCACCCTTTTTCTGATGCACCAGTGACTCTGCATACATATGCACATGCAAAGGTGTGCATCTTTCCTGAAAAAGCCGAAAAAAAGCTGCTCCTTTTTGGAGTGGCTTTTCCCGGCATGTGGCGCCTAGAGGGTGCTTTCCTTCCAGCTTTTAGGCTTGCGTATTCTAAATGCCTGAAAGTCAGCCTGAAAGCACCTCTTTTTGCCCATCTGTATAGCCCCTTGGTCTGCAGAAATCAGACACTGAAAGTTTTCATGACATGAAGATTTATTACTGTATGCATGTGAACATTTTCAAGTCACCTGTCGACTAAGGTAACCCTATGAATTCCACAGGGTTTTCTTAGGTAAGGAATACTCAGATGTGATAGATTGTCATTGCCTTCCTCAGAAATATAATCTACAGTGCCTGGTATTTTTGGTGGTCCCACATCCAAGTACTAACCATGACTGCGTCTGCTTATCTTCCAAGATCAGGCAAGATATACAGCTTTCAGGATATTTAGGTCTTGGCTTATTACTACATAATAACATTTACAAATCAAGTGGCTGTTTCACAATATAGGAACAGAAGTTTTTTTTTAAAGTTTATTTGTATTAATTTAAGTATTTCTGTATTGCCTCCCAGCCTACAAGTGCTCCTGAGGTGATGAACAAACAACCAATTAAAACAATACAAAGATACATGTTTTTTTTTAAAAAAAAACTCTTTAAAAATTCCTAAAAGTAGTCTAAAAAAATAAAAATAAAATCCTAGAATTCAGTTTTGAAACGGTTAAAACAGCAGTTTCAAACACTGAATGCCATGCAGAATAGCACTGTTTGGTGTGCTTGACAGAAGCTTAAAAGAGATGGGGTCAGGCTAACTTCCTTGGGTGGGGAATTCCACAGTCAAGGTGTTGCCAAAGTTATGTAGCAACTGTCACATGTACCCACCATACCATAAAGTGATAGATTGAAGACACTGACAGTTACAAACCATCTAAGAATACACAACTGCATGATTGGAACATTTTTGATCAGTCCTAGCTAGTCTACACCCATCCAATCAATATGATTAAGATCCA